CCCCCTGGACCATGATGCAGCCGTGCATGGTAGTCTGTATTTACAGGGTTACCCCCTGGGACCATGATGCAGCCGTGCATGGTAGTCTAGTATTTACAGGGTTACCCCCTGGGACCATGATGCAGCCGTGCATGGTAGTCTGTATTTACAGGGTTACCCCCTGGGACCATGATGCAGCCGTGCATGGTAGTCTAGTATTTACAGGGTTACCCCCTGGGACCATGATGCTGCCGTGCATGGTAGTCTAGTATTTACAGGGTTACCCCCTGGACCATGATGCAGCCGTGCATGGTAGTCTAGTATTTACAGGGTTACCCCCTGGGACCATGATGCTGCCGTGCATGGTAGTCTAGTATTTACAGGGTTACCCCCTGGACCATGATGGAGCCGTGCATGGTATGTCTAGTATTTACAGGGTTACCCCCTGGGACCATGATGCAGCCGTGCATGGTAGTCCAGTATTTACAGGGTTACCCCCTGGACCACGATGCAGCCGTGCATGGTAGTCTAGTATTTACAGGTTTAAAAACAGGCGGTGAGGAAGCTATACAATCAATTATCACAGATACCTCTGGAGAGTGATCTGAGCTTGGATTGCTGCTCTCAGAGTGCAAAGCAGATGTAAAGGAGGCCTAAACTCCATGATGGCATGAGGTTGTGTGCTGAGAGCGTGCTCCCAACAATCTGAGCTGTCTGATAACTCTGTTGCGGCTTCTGTTCGGGAGGCGTGAGGACTGGCCCCTGATCATGCATCCGCTGAGAGCCAATTATAGCGTCCACATGATACAGATTCCGTGCCATCTCTTGGGCATTGAAGCTCACTTACAGGCCTGTCAGGAGGAAACATTAAGGGGTTAATATTGAGCGTTTTTTAGCTTGAAGCTTCAAGACACTGAAAGGGGCTGACACCGCTCATACGCTAAAATGTCTACACTCTGCTCTACTGAGTATAGGGGGCAGTTCATTGTTACAATGCATTGTATTTTTGTTCGTGTTTTTTTTTTTTTTTACGCTTTATTGAATTTTCACAAAATGACATTTCAGGTCTCTGCAGCATGTTGCACTTTAAGAATGCAGAGCATCTCACCTCAAGGCAGAGTTGTAGTGTGAACAGGGCACTTAAGGAACAATTGTTTTCTTTGTCCTTTTGCATTGAGGCTGCACGCCCTAAGACTGTGTCTGTGATGTACATGCCTTGCAGCACCGCTTACATACAGTGACACACTGCCATGGGTTGTAGTGCTCTGTGCTGCAGAAAAAGACGCAGGTTTATATTTATTTGGACATTTTAGTGCATTGTCACGTCGTTTGCTTGAATGGGCTCCTGTAATACAACGTGTGCTAATGCAATGTTTGAGGACGCCTTGGTGTGAATGGGCCCTTCTAAGTAAACTCCTTCATGACCAGTGAGATCATTATCTTTGCGTTCCATGGTACACCCTGTGTCTTGGTGCATCTCCATGCTGCAGTTTCCCTGCACTTACCGGCAGCCTGTTCACTCTGTGGGAAGAGTAGTGCCCCATCATTTTGTATCTGTGGGAGGAGTAGTGCCCCATCATTTTGTATCTGTGGGAGGAGTAGTGCCCCATCATTTGTATCTGTGGGAGGAGTAGTGCCCCATCATTTGTATCTGTGGGAGGGGTAGTGCCCCATCGTTTTGTATCTGTGGGAGGGGTAGTGCCCCATCGTTTTGTATCTGTGGGAGGGGTAGTGCCCCATCGTTTTGTATCTGTGGGAGGGGTAGTGCCCCATCCTTGGAGCCAGCGGGAGGGGTAGTGCCCCATCCTTGGAGCCAGCGGGAGGGGTAGTGCCCCATCCTTGGAGCCAGCGGGAGGGGTAGTGCCCCATCCTTGGAGCCAGCGGGAGGAGTAGTGCCCCATCCTTGGAGCCAGCGGGAGGAGTAGTGCCCCATCCTTGGAGCCAGCGGGAGGAGTAGTGCCTCATCCTTGGTGTCAGTGGCAGGAACTATGCCCCACTGTTGCTGCCAGTGGGGGGAATAATGCCTCAAGGGCTGGAGAAACGCAAGCAAAGGGCCACAGATTGGAGACCACTGCTGTACAGGGACCAAGGATAAGAATTTTTTTACAAAATCTCAGAAAAGCCAAACAAAAACGTATCCATGGCTTAATAATAATGATAAAGTAAACCGTGTAACTAAGCCCTCCAGTGTTTGCCTCCCCTCTAGCAATGTGACATCTGCAGGCTCTCTTGCCAGCACCAACATCTTCTCTCTGGTTTCTTCTGGTTTTGGAGTCTTCAGCTGTTTTGGTTGGCCGGTGTGGGATGACATAACCCCCACGCCTGCGCATTAGCGTTTATGCCAAGTATTGTGTGTAGGGCACCAATTCATTTCAGTGGGCTGCCCTACGTATGAGAAATTCTGAATAGAAGTCCCCTAACTCTTTTCTGAAAGATGCATCGTGGTGCCATTAACAATAATGGGCACTGCTGTGTGTCTGTTAACAGGCAGTGAGTTTCTGTGTGTGTCTGAAAAGGGCGCGATTCTCTCTACCTGCAAAGGTCTGAACCTAGCCAAAAAAACCTACGCACACGATTCTCAGGTTTCCATAAGAGAAAGATGTTATTACTTTGTTTCTGAACCAGTAAGAGATGACATTTAGGTGGCAGGTGATTGTTGAAAATAACACCCAGTCAGCCTGTTGGGATTCTCTCCAATGGTCTGGGAGATGATAGAATATACGGATAATATAGAAAATAGCAGAGCTCAGAGTGTAAAATATGGAGCATTGTGTCTCCAGTGTAGAAAAGTATCCGCTACAACTTTCAAAGAATGATGTCCCCAGTTGTTAAACAAAATTGCTACTAAAGTATCGGTCAGAGAGGACATTCCTGGTCAGCAGAGTGAATGGCAACAATGTATAAACGATGGCTCAAGAGTTCAGTAAAAATGTAACCAACACGGTGGAGGGAAATGTAACCTCGAGTATGTGAGGAAAATACGGGAGAGATCGCCTCTTAGTACTGGTCTGTGGATAAATGTTGTCCCAATAAATACTACAGAGGTCTCCTGAAAATGGAGTCCTCCAGTCTGGTTTCAGATGTCCAGGGGGAGTGTAATACATATCCGAGATGAGACCTGTCTTGCTCGTGGCCAGCAAGATAGCGTTCTTCAAGAGGAACCACAAATGCAGGATGTTGGAGGTAGGACTCTTCAGCTATTGCATTTTATACATTTTAGTCCTCATGCACACTGGGCGCTTTTAGGCTCCATGCACGCGCGGGGCACTTTTAAGCTCCATGCATGCGCGGGGCGTTTTAATAACGCTGGTAAAGTTAGCTGTGTAAAGTCACGTTAAAAACGTGAGTTTTTTCAGCATTTTTGTATTAGTGTTTAGCTGCGTTTTGAGCCTTTTTTTTTTTCTGTTCTTTAATAAATTTTGGTCTAAAAACACCATTTTGCCACGAATTACCGTGTTTTGCTGTGCTTTTCAGCATTAGAGTGTTATTGCAGCTAAAAAAAACTCCTCTAGAAACCCACTATTCCTGGGGGTTTTTTTTTTTCCAGCCCCTGCCAAAAAACGTTGATTACAGTCTGTGTGCATGGACACATAGGATAACATGCTGGGGAGTTTACTGGCTGTAGAAAAAAACATCAAAAGCCAAAACCGTCCAGTAAATGTCCAGTGTGCATGAGGACTAGTGGCTGCTGTTTTTGGTGTTTTTTTTTTTCTTCTACAGCCAGTAAACTCCATAGCATGTTATCCTATGTGTCCATGCACACACTGACTGTAATCTGTTTTTTGGCAAAATGCTAATGCAAAAACGATGAAAAACTTGCGTTTTTAATGTGACTTTACACAGCTAACACTACCAGCGTTATTAAAACACTCAGTGTGCATGGAGCCTTAGGGAGAAGGATGCTCTTTCCTCAGGAAAAGACCTACAGTACAGTAGGCACCCTCCTTGATAAAGATGACTGGTAACTGATTGTGTGTCGCCCAGAATACAAATATATAGTCGGTAGTTCAGAGATTGTGGAGTGGTGAGTTTTTATTTATTTTTATATATCTATATATGTGTGTATGTATGTATATGCGAGTATGTATGTATTTGTGTGTTTGTATATACATGTGTATGCAATTCTTTGAGAGTGATGTTTTGAACACCATTTGGATTGTTCTCTGAACTCTTGCACAGGTTTATATATGACTTTTCACAGATGCACAGAGGGTCTGAGGACCATGAATCAAAATGCATGATAAGCACAGTCAGTCCCTGGCAAGCGGTGCAGTGCTATCCTTTGCTGCCGAAGCATTGCAGCCTGTGTTCACCATAGAGTTGTTCATATCCAAACTGTGTCCTTGACAATACATATGTGTGCCTTGGTAGGTTGGGTGGCTAGTACTGTGCCTAACACAATTTACAGTTTTTACGTTTTCTTTGTATTACTTTTTATATTTCAGATTATTCACAAAGGCAGCATATATTTTTTGCTGCATGCTGCCTTTGAGCGTAATCTTGTGTGTACATGATGAGAATCTTGTCCCTGACCGTGCACGGCTCTACACGCAGGCACAGTTCAGTACAGTGTTTGGTCCCATCTAGCTGCAGCGTGCCATAGACTTTGACCTGCCGCAGACAGTGGGGCTGCACCCGTCCCTCCGGAGTACATTGCACCTAGAGGGTCCTGTATGCTAGGGGCCCTTAACCACTTGCCTACCAGGCACTTATACCCCCTTATTTACCAGGCCAATTTTCAGCTTTCAGCGCTGCCGCGCTTTGATTGACAATTGCGCGGTCATGCAACATTGTACCCATATGAAATTTTGATCATTTTTTTCTCACAAATAGAGCTTTCTTTTGGTGGTATTTAATCGCCACTGGGCGCTTTACTTTTTGCGCTATAAATAAAAAAGTGCAAAAAATTTGAAAAAAAAAAAAAGTTTCTTTGTTTCTATTATAAAATTTTTCAAACAGGTATTTTTTCTCCTTCACTGATGTGCGTTGATGAGGCAGCACTGATGGGCACTGATGGGCACTGATGGGCACTGATAGGCAGCACTAAAGGGCACGGATAGGTGGCACTGATAGACAGCACTAATGAGGTGTCACGGATAGGCGGCACTAATATGCAGCACTGATAGGCGGCACTGATAGGTGACACTGATGATGGGTACTGATAGACGGCACTGACTGGCATCACTGCTGGGCACTGACTGGCGGCACTGACTGGCACAACCCCTGGGCACTGACACTGGCAGCACTGCTGGGCTGCACTGCTGGGTGGCACTGCTGGGCTGTGGGCGGCACAGGTGGGTGGCACTGCTGAGCACAGGTAGGTGGCACTTCTGGGCACAGGTGTGTGACACTGCAGAGTGGCACAGGTGGGTGCACTGCTGGGCAGAGGTGGGTGATCTGCTGGACACAGGTGGGCGGAGCTAGTGGGCGCACTGCTGGGCACAGGTGGGCGGAACTTGCGGGTGGAACTGCTTGGCACCGATCATCAAGGCGCACTGATCATCAGTGCCCTGATGATCGGTGCTGATCCCCGCTCTGACAACTGCCGGTTCTCGGCAGTACTTTCCTCACGATCTGACAGCGTGAGGAAAGTGCAGCCGAGAACCGGCACTTGCATTTCCCTCTGATCAGCGTGTCATTGGACACCGCTGATCACGTGGTAAAAGGCCGCTGTGATTGGCCTTTTACCACATCACGTGATCAGCTGTGTCCGTAGGAGAGCGCGTTCTGGGAGGACGTCATATGACGTCCACTCAGAACTGGCCGGCCGCAGTGTAGCCGTCATTCGGCTATCTGCGGTCGGCAACTAGTTAAAGTGTATGTAAACTCTAACAGTGGTAATCTCCTATTTACTCACTTTTCATCTGTTAAAAAATATGTAAACCTGCTCATTTAATACGACCACGCTGGAGGCAGCCTATAAGGTATTGTTTCACTGGTACTGGGTTCCGGCTCGGTTGGCCCGGGCTAACCTTGCCTGTAGTGATCAGTGTTTTCGGGGTTGTGGCCATCGTGGAGATGTATTGCATATCTGGTGGTCATGCCCGAGACTGTCTCGTGTGTTTAGCCTCCTTTTCACCTTGTTTCATCTCTCCATCCGCTGGGATGCTCGGTATGCTTTGCTTCATTGCCCCATACCGGGCCTCTTGGCTCATCAGCAGAAGTTGGCTTCCTATCTGTTTTTATCGGCCACTAGAACAATTGCTCAGGCCTGGAAGAGTCCGTTTGTCCATCTTCAGGGAGTGCAGGATCGTATGACCACTATGATGCTCAATGAACAGATGTCGAGTATCCGCAACGACTCCCAACGTAAATTTTTGAAAATATGGGAGCCGTGGTTGCAATATGCCTTTCCCACACTCTCCCCAGCTAGTCTGGGGATGTAATGGCGTTCGGTATTGGCGCTCTTGGACCCCTGCTCTTTGCTCCTTCTTTTTTTTTTTCTCTTTCTTTTCTTCCCCTCTTTCTTCTTTTTTCATTCTCTCTCTGTTTTGGTGTGACTGGACTGCTGCATTTAGTTGTTATAGTCAGTTACAGTAATGTTTTGTAACTTATGTGCCATTGATAGCCTCTGCGTGGGCGTACCTTTTTCCCTGTTGGCATTAGAGCACCATTTTTCCTTTTTTTTTTTTTTTGTTTTTTTATTTTGCATTTTTTTTTATCTGTGCAATTGATAGCCACTGCGTGGGCGTGTTTTTATTGCCTCTCTTTTATACTGTTTAAAAATTAATAAAAACCATTGAAATAGAAAAAATATGTAAACCCAGCATTTCATATTCTTGATATATGCCTGTTGTACCATGGACTTGTATGAAAAAGTTTCCTGTTCTCTTTGTATTTCTTCCCTTTGTGTGAAAATCCTGGTGTTCTTGCTAGTCCCTTTGCTTTCCTAATAAAAACAGACCACACTAGGCAGGAAAGCACAGTATGGTTAGTTTTTAGCTGTGTCTGGAACTCGGTCTGCTCTTCTCCAATAATTAGACTTGTGCTGACATACCAATATACTCTGAAAGATTTCAGTACGTAAATACAAAAAAACTCCATTCATTACATTTGCTCTTTAATGCACAGTATACATAATATAAAGCTTGCATATGACTATCCACTAATTCCCACCCATAATAAAACAAAAGCCGGCAGTCATAACACACAGACAAGCCCTTGTTACCTTGTCTTCTGGACTTGCTGTTTTTACTTTTTTGATCTGTTCTCTGCCAAATCGGTGAAAGGGCATTGGCACTGGTTATACCTGTTTACAGCATGCAGGCTAAGTGTACATAGTTGTGTTTGGCCAGTTGTGACCATAGGACAGTTTTTACAAGATATGCCAAATGCTTTTCATTTGTCTTAAAAGTGGCAATAATGTGTTTCCTGTTAGCAGATTTTTGTTTTAATTACACAAGAAAAACTTTTATTCAGCCATGTTTTCAGCAAATGACATTGCTGTATATACAGATTGAACTTTTAGGGCTTGATCACACCAGATGCGCTGGACTGCCTTGGCAATCGCAATCCCAGTGCATAGATAAAGCAAAAATCCTTATGTCCATTCATACCTCTGTGATGCAGTGGTGTGCTCTGCAAAATGGTATGGCATGTAGTGCTTTTTTTTTTTGGCAAAGTATGGTGCGACACAGTCCATTAGAAACAGAAACGACACCTCCTGCTCACTAGGACTCTGAACAAGGGTGGAAGGGAACCTTGAAACAGTTCCACCAATGCATGGAAAGTTGTGCAGCTCTAGAACAAGGCTTGGGAAACGTGACCGATAATGTAAAGTGAAGCAAAAAGAGAGCGCACCAGAGCTCTGATGAAGAAGGGTCCCACTTCGAAACGTGTCAGCCTCACTTAGTCTACCCTCGTGATGTGACTTCCACGTTCCTTTGAGGATCTGTAATGCTTTTTATACTTCCTTGTTTGTGAGTATATATTTTATTCAATAAAATCACAGTTGACTGAGGTAATGCGCAAGGTTTGTGCTCTCTCTTTTTGCTTCACTTTACTGCGACACAGTCCATCACATTACACTGCAGCCAAAAGGACTTAAATGTCATTTTTGGACATTTTAATAAAGTTCTCACAAAAAATAAAAAAAAGCACTATTTTTCAGCACAGCCACTTTCCAGCTCACACCGGAGGTAGTGCATGCTGCTAGTGTCAACTGTCAACAAATTCATGGTCTTCCATTGGACACATAGGTTCAATAATAATAGGAATATGGGATATAGATAATATAGGAGATTGTCTAAAGATACTAAGATGGCAATCTTTTATATTGCATCGTTTGGGTTTTTCTTTCATATACCTATGTATTACAATAACAGGGATGTTCAATTTACATCACCTGACTTCTGGGACATGTAGTTCCGGATGACGGACAGGTAGTTTTTTTTTTTTTTAACATTCAGCACTGTTGCGGCCAATCAGCAGGGCTCACCTGTCAGGTGGAAGCATTCAGGCAGCTGCGCTGCTGACCAAATTTCTTCCATGCAGCAACCCACGACAGTGCCAGCCTCCATTTTCCCCCCTCCGCTATGTCTCCCAGGCTCAGATTGCCCATCTGCAGGCCCAGAAGCAGTTCAGTGGGTGCCGGCAGATATAGGGGTGGGAGCACAACAGACCCGTCCGGTCCCCTCTCCCTTCTTGTCCTGACCCGGAAGTCACTCCGGGTCCCTGTTGACAGATTTCCCGGCCATCGAGGCTGGGAAAGAATGTAATAAAGTTTGACGCACTGCATTACATCCGGTGGAGTACAGGGGAAACATGCAGGGACTTTTTATACACCCTATGTGCCCAGTTCTCGATTTTGTTCATTGGTTTCTGTTCCTTATGTTGGGGATGTTCACATTTCCGGTTGCCTGGTCTGAGGCTTGGTGGACAGTTTTTTTTTACCATTAGTACCCACTTTTTTGGAGGTTTCATATAATGCTTTTCAGTAGTGTATCAATGCAACAAGCTTATTTTCTTGGTTGTCTTAAGCCAGCCATATATGAAAGGGCCAGTTCAGCAGGATATGGGCACCCTGGTTGTAGAGACGTTGATATATCGATCAACTTCTGTACAACCTGTTGCTTTTTTCTGAACAATCGGTGCCACCATCTATAGCCGGTAACACTGATCATTTTGTTTTTTGACAGCGGGGAAGATTCCCTGCCATCACAACACAGTAGCACGAGAGTGATTCCCCCATCCACCATGAATGTGTAGACGGGCAACCGGCACATTTTTTTAAAAATGTTTACATTCAACCCACTGGCTGATCAAAAAAAATGTATACGATATAGCCTGCCTTAGTATACATGCCAGGAATTTTTAAAGGATAAGTTCACCTTTTGGAACATGTTACATGTTCCACCTGTTTTTTTAACACCCCCCCCCCTCCCCCCCCCAATTGATAAATAGTACACAGAGACTTCTCCCTGTACTATGTCAGATTTGAAAACAGTGTGGTCGTGCGGGGCTCTGGTCACATGTCCACGCCACTCGTTCAGAGTTCTGTGAATGAGTGCCTACAAGTTCCAGCAGCCTTAGCGGCTGTCGGCTTGTACTTTTCAATGAACTACCATGGTGCTGTGGAGCGCTGTTGTAGTTCATTGAAGCTTCCTATCAGAATATCTGCTTGACCGTACTTCCCGTATGGCAGGCAGATATTCTGACAGGTCTGCAGGAGACCTGCATGGCATCAGCGATCTACTGATCACTGGTGCAATGCTTTACAAGCTCCTTTGGACAAAAATAATAAATGCACATTTTTTTTCAATTGCAAAAATATGTGCATTTGTTATTTTTGTCCAAAAGGTGAACTTGTCCTTTAATGATGAAAGTTATAAATGTTTACATTGAATTTTTCTGTATGCTGTTAGCAGAATTAATTGATTAATAATTTACACTGGTTTTTGTTTTAGTGGTTTGCATACTTGCCTTGTAGCCATGGGGTCCTGAATTTGATAACACCAAGGATAGTTTACTATGCATACTTCTTCCACAGTCCAAAACTAAACCGACTTCCGAAGCACTCTGCAGTGGGCATTGGCTCCCTCCATTCTCCAGCATCCTGTTTTTTCCCAACTGTTTCCTAATTACTGTCGCATTGGTGGTGGTGGGGGCAATCAGCAACACAGTTCGCACTTCCCCACTATCATTGTACCCAAGAAGCAGGGGATGTGTTGGCCTGCTGCAGACTAAATGAAGCTAATGTGGCTCGTAGGTAAGAATTTCATGGCTTGTTTTGCTGTTTTAACTAAGCAGTGATTTTCCTTACTGGTATCTCCATGCTGCTTTTTGTGTCTTGGAAAAATATAAAATGGAGCTTTTTTGAAGCTGAAACTACATTTTAGGGGATGTTACGGAGTAGTTGGGGTAAGTTCGGTATGAGTTAGAGGGAAATAGTTGGTTAGATTCAGGTTTTAGGAGTGT